CTGTTGGGTACCGGCACCGAATTTCAGGTAGCGGTTAAAATGTGAACGGTACCCAACCTTTACCTGAAAAGCACTGTTTATTTCATATGCACCTTTGTTCTGTTGTATTGTTGTATTTATGTTGGCCTGTTGAATGTTAAATGGATTCAATCCTTGTTCAATAGAAATTATTTTATGATGCAGCAATAAACTAGCTAGTATTACTTAAATGCATGCGTTTTTGAACTTTGCTGATTTAAAACATGGTCAAAACACCGAGTAAAGAAGAATAATTGATGACGCTCCGTTGAATTATTAGAAAATAATCATTTCATTTTTGCTTTGCGTTGTGGCCGCATTACAACCTTGGGTCAATTATTCCGCTTATACTACGGTTACCACACCTCAAGACATTGTTCAGATGTATTTCAATGCATTTGTCAGGTTTTTGTCCTTAAAACTTGTGTCTAGGACTAATTTCTTATGTATCTAATCTCAAGCCTCCATCGCTAATTCCAAAACGTTATTTTAGAACTATTAATGGAGGCTTTAGCCACTGATAGCAGACTAATGCAGTTATTAGAGAGAGAGAGAGAGAGAGAGAGATTAAGAGTGTGTGAATTACCTGAATTTGTGCATCTCTCAACAGTTTTTGGCAGCAGCATCTCTATTACCGAATCTCTAAGTTTATCTTTTTCAAGACCAGCGGCATTATTACATCGCTAGTGAGAATTGTCATGTAGCTTTTATGTTGCTAAACATTTTTACTGAAAAAATCGTCAGAGCAGCACTGACAACATGTTTCTGTGCGTGTGTGTGTCCATACTGTATGTGTGTGTGTTCATCAACCAATCAGATTCAAGCATTCAAAAGCCCTGTAGTGTAATCTATTTTAATGACAAAAGCTCAAATAAGAGAGCAAGTGACAAATATCGAAATTGGCCAATAGTTGTTCATTAAAATCGGTATTGGTATCGACCAAAAAAAACGGTGCATCCCTACTCCAAACATTCCTTTAGTTCTCAACATGTACATGATTTTATAAAGAACAAGTGAATAAATAGTTCTAAATGGCTTTTAAACGTTCTAAAGCACAGATGTAAATGGTTTTTGGTTCTAATTGAAATTTTTATATATTTAAGATTGTAGACCCTACTGATAACTTTTTTTGTATCTCGTTGCCTTCATGATTTTTGAATCTACCCTCTATACACAGTAGAGTCTTCAAATAAATTTTTTTTGATCCTCTGACATTTTCTTTGTGAATGTTTTAATAACTGCCAAGTCTGATGAGAAAGCAAAGCACTCCGCTTTCATCAGAAGAATTAGGCCATGTGTGTAAACGTTATTACTGAGGGTTTAACCACCCAGAGTCCTCATCTTAATTTGAATGTTCATGTCCACAATTTTCCGCTCCTGATTGCAAAAATCTCATTCAAACTCTTCTGATGTTTAGATGGCTTTGATGGCTCTGTGATACTAACGCTAAGACTCATTTCTCATTCAATGTTTTTTCAGTTTATCTCTTTCAGTCCCTCTTTTTGACTGTCTCTTTTTCTCTAACTTTCCCTCACATAACCTTGCCAGAAATACTGTAAATACCTCTGTGTGTGGTAAGAATGGACATAATCTGGATTAAAGGAAAGATTAGTGTTTAATGAGTGTCTTTGGATTCCTGATCTATTTCCAGAAGCCGATTGGCTAATTTGAGATCCAGAAGCTTACATCCACTACCCCACTACACAGATTACCTGCTTTCACATACATTGCAACACTCTTTCGCAGTTTCTTCCCAAGCAAATATTTGAATACGACGATTACGTAGGCAGAGTGTGACATTTGACTAAACATAGGGGAGATTTTATACAGGTGGGAGGGAGAAAGAACTTTAAAGACTGAACAGAGGAAGAGATGGGTGCGAGACAAAAGGAAACCACAAAGTAATGACACTCAACGACAATATGGCATGTGTTACCTTATAGCGGTTTATGAATTTACAGATGAGGCAAATCTTGAGACTCATGATAATGTCAATGGTTGTGAACTGAAAACTGAAATAACTTTGATGGCCTGTGATGTTTCTTTACAGTTATCCATACATTAATTTTCATTCGCAGCCAGTTGAGTTCAAAGAACTTTTTAGAAGCAAGTTTCTCAGGAAGGGTTAGTTTTTCCTTTTTATAGGATGTTGTTGTTTGTTGATTTCTCTTGTATAGCAGCAGGTTAGAGGTGTTAGAGAAGTCATCAGGTGCCCTGTGGCCTGCGTGGGTCCTAATGCCCCAGTATAGTAATGGGGACACTGTGGCTGTTCCTGAACTCTATGGGTGCCATTACATCATCCAGGTGGTTGAAGAGATTCCCACAACTTGTGCTTTGAGTGGAAGTAGAAGAAAAGCTAATTATAAATGCATAGACATACATCACATGCTCAATGTAGCCAAGAGTGATTGACCATTTACTGTATTTCTTTGTTTCCAGCCCATGACTCTAGGCAAGTCTTGAGAGGCTCACACTGGATGCTGACACAGAAATTTCTTAGCCATTTTAAAGTTGGATGGGGAGCTTTTGCCTGGGCTAGTGTTGTTAAAAGTACCGGTACTTCGGCACCAAATCGATACTGAACAAAATACCAAAAGTGCAGTTCGGTACCCGCTGATAGGTGCTGCTTTCAAATGCTCCTGTGCGTATTGTCATCATGCGCTCTGTGAAGAGCGGCAAAAGTATATTTACAACATGCTTTGGTAATAGCCAATCACAGACATGTCTGTTGGCTGCATGAACACAATGGCCAATCATACACGTTTAAGTCAGAATCCATCCATACGATGCAGGTGTTTTTGTTCAGCGTGTCTTCATAGCTTTTTTGGTGAAATCACGTGAAAAATGCTGGACTACAATGATAAAATGTGACATGAGGATAGTTGGTCCAAGCAAGGGTTTGCGAAAAACCAATGTTTTAAAAAAATGAAATACAGTTGACGAGTGAACAAACATCTCGGTTAAATTCATTTTTGTTCCATTTTGTAGCCCCATTAATTGTGTTTGAAGAGGAGATACTTATACTATAGCTGTCACCTGACAAGTGTTGTTCAGTGCAAGCATGACTGGTGTGATGAGACGTTTATATCAGGCACTAATAACAGAGGCCCAAATGTCAGTTTTCTCTATCTGTATGCTTTTCAGTTTGTCCAGACTTGTTATTTTTTGTTATAATGATTTGTTTAATTGACATTTGATAATTTGTAGATACACGTGCATACATTTTAAAATGCTATTTTAATGATCATGGTAATAGGTGATAGTTCTGAATAAGTGTGATTTTAAACAATTGTTTTTAATTCATTTTAACTGTGGCAAACAGTCTCAAAGGACATTACCTCAAGCCGTCAAAATCTCTCTCTTTCTTTCTCTCTCTGGTCCTGGAATAGGGGTGTGATCAAGTAACTAGTTGCTAGTTGGCCAGAATTGAGCGGTAAGCAGTGTAATCAGGACTTGGCTGTGTTATCCAACTGCATTTAGATCTGTTACCTTGGTGCCTTATATCACACTGTTGGTACAGAGAATCCTTTAATCTGTGATCAAACGATAAACTTGCTGCTACACACTTGAAAACACATACATTCTTGTTGAATTTGAGAAAATCAGCAGAATTGAGCACCCTATATTGACCAAAAACTCAGACCGAAAACAGCACTGGTCATTTTTTTGCTATTAGGCAAACCGTGAGACGGAGTTGTGAAATATCTGTTTTGAGAGTCTTTGTTTCCGAGTACGTCTGCAAGTCGCCACGCACCTATTTGTGTGTGTTCCGCTACATAAGCAAAAGTGACTTTTTCAAAAAGCCACAAAGCCCTTCAAAGAGGGAGAGAGAGTGAGAGAGACAGTCGGAGTAAGAGACAGACAGAGAGAGAGAGGCCAAGTGTTCTTCCCTGCGATGCTTATCGTACCTGCCCTGTGTCTTCAGACAGACACACTGCTAAAAATACCCATCGGAAACGGCCAACACAGCATCAAATCTGAACTTTCTCAAAGTGTGGTCAAACGTCAGACAACGGAGATTGCTGTTTGTGCTCGTGTGTGGGCAGGGATGGGGGTTGAGTGGGCTTTTCATGTGAATGATTAACGTGTGCTTGTGCTTTTTATTCCAATAAAAGCATACATTTGTGTTTGTGTGCATGTGTTAGTGTACACACACACACACACACACACACACACGTGTTTTAGTTGTTTAGTGTGTGTAGGTGTGGGAATAACACTGCATTTTTCATGAATAGGGTCCTCAACAAATGTTTAGTGAAAAGAGGTGCTTAAAATGGTGATTAACTTCTTTAACTTTAAGCTAAAAATTAATTAAACTAAATACATCTGTTTTATTTTCTATTCATTTTTCAATCGGGTTTTCATTTATTGCAATCCCGTTAACAGTTTAAAACCCTGATTTGTGTTATTTGTTATTTTCTAGCAATAAACATTAAATAAACAAAAACATGACAATTTATGCTAAATAGATTATACTAAATTAAATTAAAAGGAAAAAAACAGAATGGGTATTTTTACAGTAATTAAGCTGTCACTCAGTCTAGCTAGTTTGTGATTAAATGTAGGTTCATAGTTATTGATAAACTTTTATTTAGTTTAAATTAAAGAAAAATATTTGCTTGATAATTTTTCTTTCAATAACTTTAACAGAGTTGAAGGCTGATCTTGACAAATGCAACAACTTAAAAAATAAGGACACGGGTCAATATATATATATATATTTTTAATTAATTGAATTTACAACAAATCAATTAAACAGGTGGTCAAAATGTTTACATTGTGGTATAATTTCAATTTGTCTGAGGGAGCACAGACATTTGATGTTTACAACTAGTTACTTTTCATGCAACTTTACTATTATGTTGGATTTTATATTTAACATATTTACAACAACATACATATTTATTTCCTCTGTTTAAAAAAGTGTGCCCTGTTTGTGGAAAGTGACCACTAACTAGCTATTTTTTGTGTCACCTCTTTAGGAAATCCAGTGCACAAGAAATCCCATCTGAGTAAGTACAAGAATCTCAAGCATTCATCAGTTATACACTTGTCTGTTCACTCTTTATGTATGTTCACTCTGCTAGTATGTTGTTTAGTACAACACAATAGTAGTTTCTTTTCATGTGTGTGTGCGTCAGTGCGTGCTTTGAGAAGTGGCATGTTTCACCCCCTGTGCATGTTGTTTTTTGCATATCAGAGAACCCCTCGATTGTGGTGTTATAGGGAGGGGGCCATGTATCAGTGTAGCAAAGCGGTGCATAATTACACCTGTTAAAAACACAAACACACACACACACACACACACACACACACACACACACACACACACACACACACAATGCACCTGTATCCACATATATTTTTACTTCAGCCACAAAAGCTGTATGTTTAAATATGAGCAAAGCTACCGTAGACAAGCACAGGTGTGTGTGGCGCAGCTATGGGCGTGTGCACCATCTGAATCGAGATAAGATCTCAGAGTATTTTAGTGAATAGATGCTGTTTAAAACTCTTCCCGCCTTTGTGTTTGATTACAAGCATTGTGTAAGTATCTCATCTTTTTGTCTTTCGCTCTTTTTTTTTTTCCTTCCCTCTGTCCTTGAAAGTTTTGTTTTTACATTCAAATATGACCTTTATGGAATCCACTGAACTTCCATAACATTTTATCAAAGTCTTTTTAGTTAATTTGACTGTATAAAAATGTTTGAAAACCCTAAAAGGAAAAACTGAGTGTTTCATATCATATTAGTGTTCTGGGATTATAAGAGCGTGACTGTAGGAAGATTAGAAAACACTCATAGCATGATTCATAATGACAAGCAATAACAACACTCTGTCGTACGCTGCGGCAACAATATCACATGACGATCTTAACCAGGTTGTTTACACAATACCATCTACCACCTATCAAACCAGCCTCACATCCTCTCTGAACAGTTCCTCATCAAATATAATAGCAAAAGAAAAGTCAACACTTTGCAATTCAAATTCTGCGTGTGCATTTTAACACTCTCTTTCAAAAGATACTAATATGCAACTTTAAGGGGCAAATAAGGGACCGAAGTGTACGTTTTGAAAGGGTATCCCAGTGGAAGCTTTTGTACCTTTTTTCTAAAGAATGAAACACAAACCAAAATAAAAAAGGAAATTTATTCAGGACAGTTTGAAAACTGGGAGTTTGTAGTTGTGTGTCTACAAAAATATTTTTTAATTTTAGTAAACTAAACTTAATTTACTGTATTTGTCCAGTTGATTTTTCCAGTGTATTTGAGTTGACAAAATTAAAGTCGGCATGAAACGGAAGTTGTGATAGTCTTTTCCTCCCTATTGTGATGTATATCCTAGTGAAACTGTCTGGAAACAAGAAAAACTATAGAGCAGGACTTGATTTTGTCCGTCGGGAATTGATTGGATGGTTGTGGTTTGCTATTGGTGGATCACTGAGAGAAGGATTAGGAGGGGACTTGAATTAAAAAAAATTGTGCACCGATAAATCATTTATAACAAATACTGCAATATAAAAAAAAAATCCATTTTGATTTCATGGTCACTAAAAACAAAAGTTATCTCAACTTTTGGGAAATAAGTAAAACTAAAAAAACAATGCAAAAAAGAAGCAAAATATAATGAGTTGAGTGTTTTTACAGTGGCGTGGAAGATGAGAGGGATAGGGTGAGGAATTCATGATTTCAGGAAGAATGATGCTCTGCAGAAAAGCTTAGAGATGTGAACTGCTCAACACTGAATTAGAAAGAGAAAGAGAAAGTAGAGTCCACCTATAGACGGACAGAGAAACAGCACATAAAGTTCTTAAGTAGACACATCATACGCGATCGAGAGAGAGAGAGAGAGAGAGAGAGAGAGAGAGAGGTGTACCTATCTACGGTTTGAAAGGGACAGGCCCTCTCCCTCTTTGTCACTCTCAGATAGAAACACACACAAATGATCTCCCTCTCTGTCAACTACCGACAGAAAACCACCTAATCTCTCTGTCATCTCCCACAGCGCGACAGAATCACCTGTTCAGAAGTTTGATTAACAGTGTCAGACAGAGCTGTCAACCATATTGAGTGATTTAGACGCATCTTCACGAGAAAAAGACAGCAGTTCACACATGCTGTGAAGATGATGCGAGGTAGGCATTTGTGTTTTGTGTCTGGCCTAGTAAGTATGTATTTTTGCTAATGTTTGTGTGGGTGTGTGACAATTGCTTGTTTACATCACATTCGACTTATCCTCATGTCTTTGTGCGCAAAGGTTTTCATTTTTGTTTGTGCAGCTTATATCGCTTCGAGCTTTGCGTTCATATTGCTCTTTCGTTTCGCTCATCATACCCTAGTTTAGGGCAAAGTGATTATATATATCCTTTGCTTTCAGCTGAGATTGACCTTTTTAGGAGTTTCGCTCTGTTGTTTGTAGTTGTATGAGACTCGCTCCGCCATATTAGCAGGTAGATGAAAAGTCCAAGACTTTGGTTTGCTCTTGAACCACTTGAGTCGGAGATGGATGGTCCATCTTGAAGGATGGAGTGGGATGATATGCAGGATTTTGCTGGAATACAGAAAGCAGTGTAGGTCTGATGTGCTTTGATTTTGAGACCAGGATTTTGATTTGTAATTCAAAATGTCTTTAGTGTTGAAGTAGGACCTGATAAAAATTAAAGATATATAATCAGTGTTTTTTTTTAAGTGTGTGTGCCTAAAATGTGTTTAAAGTAATCTGATTGACCTGATATAATGCGTGTGCAGGAAAACTTGTCAGAAAGTTTCATTCACCTTTTACTAATTAATAGAAATTTGCCATGCAGCCTCTTTCGTTCTTGAAAGTTGCTTTTTGTTTGCTTTATCTTATGTAATTTATTAATGGCTTTAACAGTACCTTGTAGACTGTGTGTGTGTGTGTGTGTGTGTGTGTGTGTGTGTGTGTGTGTGTGTGTGTGTGTGTGTGTGTGTGTGTGTGTGTGTGTGTGTGTGTGTGTGTGTGTGTGTGTGTGCGTGTGTGTGCGTGTGTGTGTGTGTGAAGTAGTCCAGCGTGGGTGTGTGACTCTACACTTTCTCACTGATTTTAGTAATAGGGATTTTCACACCTTCAACATCAAGTATGCCACACCATTTCCACAAAGCACAACATTTTAGTCTAAATTCAGTTTATTCTTAATTCTGGTTTGACACGAAAACTGAATTACAATATTGGAAATTGATGTAGTACCCTTTTTAAAACAGATTTAATTCTGTGTTGTAATGTGAACGAAGTCCTAAATGATTGTGGCGTTTGAAGTAACAGAACCTTTCTATGTACTCGTGCTCAAGCATATGAAACCGAATGATGTTCGTAACTCTTGCAGTTCGCTGAATTGAGAGAAACTGTCCTGAATTAATCATGAATTTATCAATTCTTTTGTACAGTGCTTTTGAACAAAGATACAAATTCCTTTTAAATTATTTTGGACAAATATGAACTTTAATATTTATGTAGATAGATCCAAGAAATTGATGATAGTGGCAGTTACTTATTCTTGATGGGTAATAATCAGTTAGTCAAGGACCTAGCTGAAGAAACCACAATATAGATTAATGGCCAGATCATATGATTATTAGTTTATCTTGTGCTTTGTGGCTGTTATGATTAGAACCACAGCTGTAGATACAGCCTAGCCTACAGATAAAGGGTTTAATGTGCAGATTATCCCCTTAATGAAATGAACACTGCAAGATAAGATCTGGCTTTCAGAAACTGTCTGAATACAACATCCTCTCTCAGTCGTCTTTGTTACAAGCCCCTCAAAATAAACGAGAAGTAACAGCTTAAAGAATAAAGACGATTGTTAATTCTGCCTCTATTTTTGTTTACTTTATCCTGAAACCCAAAGGGACAAAATGGAGGACCCCAAAAGTGTCAGATGACGTTCGTTTGCGAGGCTTGTGGTTGTGGACATCGTTCAGAAATGACTCTCAAGCAAGCATTTTTGTACAGTCCCCTAAAACTGAATTTTCCGTAGCAGCTCACATCACGTATGTGGTTAAATTTCTCCTCTTAAAAATTGCTACAATTCAAATGGCACATGCTGAAGTCAGCTGCGCTGTATCTTATCAACTTGCATTATCTGACGCAGGACTGCACGAAGCTCTCGCTGTTGTCCAGAACCCTGCTGAAAGCTGTTTTTGTGTGATTGACAATGTTGTGAAGACACCGTAAAAGAATTCAAGATTCCAACCACAACTGAGAGTGGTTTATAACTCACCTCTTACATTGATTTATTTCAAAATTAATTGATGGACAAATACACTCAAGAAAAAAAGCTACAAAAGCTGTCACTGGGCCGGTGCCCTTTCTAAAGATACTATGTACCATACAGGTACTATGTCTCTTTAAGGTACTAATATTTACTTTTTAGGGGTAAATAAGATCCAAAGGTGTACCTTTTGAAACGGTACTGCCCCAGTGACAGCTGTTGGTTGCACTTTAATAACAGTACGTGCACTTGCATGTACTTACAGTGCACTTAGCTTAGAAACTACTGGTTAATAAAAGGTAACATGGGTTAAGGTTAGGTTTAAGGGAAGGTTCAGGGTTAGTAGTTATTACATGGGGAACAAGACTGAAAAATAAAGTGCTACCCAGCTTTTTTTCTGAGAGTCTATAGACAGATTAAAATGCTTATCAATTTCTTTAAAATAGGATTTTCTCATTTTAATAGCAGAACAAATACTGTTGTAAAAAAAAACATCCCAGGATGCACCTCATAAAGTTAGCGCAAAAAAACAGTGCGAAGCTAATCTAGGCATGAAACTCAAATAAAATATAGTTTTGTTTTGCTTAATATTTTAGTCACTGCATAATTTCCATATATTTGATCAGAATTTTAAGGACTTTACTATTATTTTAAAATGTGCAAAGTAGTAACTCTAAGAAATAAGTGTGCTTGTCCAAACTGCTAGCGCATGTGTTTTTTCTTTTGTTTGTTTTTGTGTAGCAAAAATTTCCTTCCGATACAGTAAAACATCTTAAA